CCTACCTCTTTTGTCTGTAACTCACTATTATTTGTCTATTTGTTTTCCTGAGAAACTATTTTGTAGACAATAATATGTAAAATGATAACCATTGATAATTTCCTACCATTTTTGTCTGTAATTTGCTAAGTCCCCCCTATTATTATGTTATCCTTCTTTTATTCTTTAAAATAAAAAAAAAAAACAAAATATATCACATCCTTTATATGTGTTTTGTTCTCTTACCCTTTTGTTATGTCATGAAAAACAGTAGTAAAACTTCCTCAAAAAATTCAAAATTGAATTACTAAGTGTCCCAGTAATCCCATTTCTGGGTATAAACCCAGAGTTGAAAGCAAAGTCTTGAAAGCTATTTAAACACTGATGCTTATCACAGCAAAATTCACAATAGCCAGAAGGTGGCAACAGCCCAAATGCTCATCACAGTTTTTTCATGAATGGATAAAGAATATGTGATATGCACATACTAGGAATACTGCTCAGCCTTTAAAAGGAAGAAAGTTCTGCTGCATACTGCAATATGGGTGAGCGCGGAGGGCATCGTGCTAAGTGAAATAAGTCAGTCATAAAAGGACAAATATTGTGTGGCCCCACTCGGAGGAAGCATCTAAAGTAGTCAAAATCGCAAAAATAGAAAGTAGGAAGGGAGGTGTTCGCGAGGGCCTGGGGCGGGGGAGCGGATTCGGTGCTCAGTGGGCTGAAGTTCCAGTTTTAGGGTGAGAACGTTGCAAAGCTCCGTTACACAAGACTATGAATATACCGAACGCTTCTGGACCGTTGAAAGGGTACATTTAATGTTGTGTGTTATTTGGCCACAAGTTTTGAAAAGGTTTGTTTCCTACCTAGCTAAGGACGAGAAGGATTCTGTTGCTCACAATTCCACATCTTCCTGAAATCGTCGCTTTTGTATCTCTGATGACAGTGTTGATCCTAGACTCCCACCTGCTGGGCATTTGAAGTTCCCTGCCTTGGCCGAGAGTAGCTTAGGGCCCCGAGGAGAGAGACCCGCATTTAATCCACAGGACACGAGTGAGACTTTCCCAGAGAGAGGATAAAGTGAGGCGAGGGAGGAGAAGAGATGTGCGAAGGTACCATTTGGAGGAGCTGGTCGGTCTCAGAGGCATTAGTTGTGCTGGGGAGGCGTCTTCAGGACCACATGTCAAGCCTCACAAGAAGTCCTTAGGGAGTCAGTGTCTCATCCCCATTTCACAGATAAATAACTGATTGGCTAAGATTAAAAGTGACTTGCTGGGGGCCACCCAGCCAAGAGTCCGCGGAGCCGGGAATCCACGGACACCCACTGGTGGGTTTGCCCAAGTCCTCCCGCTGGCACGTCCAGTCAGGGGGACTGACCCTCAGGAATGAATCCCCTGCAGCACCCAGCGGTGGGAAGCCGTCACAGTCCTGCAGTCGGGGAATGCAGCAACCGTTTCTGGGACCTTCTCACTTCCCCACGCCTCCCAGCGGATACTCTTTCTCCGCGGAACCTGCGGTGGCCCCGCGTCAAACTCTTCCCTGCAGGACGGGGGTGGGGAAGAGGCGGGAACTGCAGATGGCGCAAGCTTTGCGTCACTGGCAGGTGGCTTGGCAGGAATGCGAAACAGTCCAGACACTTCACAGGGCACCCAGGGCCATCACAGGTGAGCGGCACGCCCATTCCTGGGTATCCTTGCACGGAGGTGAACTTCATCCCTCTCCTCCCTTCCCCTCCCTCCTTTTTTTTTCCTCTTCCTGTTCTGGATCTAAGTGGGACTCTGTCGAAGTCCTCTTGCTTGTTAGAAACCCTAGCTCCAGCCTGGATCTCTTTGATACAGGAAAAACGTAACACCCAACTTGCTGGATATCGGATGCCCTAGGTTCATTTGCCCCAAAACCAAAGAATGACTCCCAAGGAATGGTGGAGGTGAAGCGTAGTAAAGGTTTACTGAGAAACAGCTCCTGAGACACAGGAAGGGTCCTGAAAGTGGGTGACCACCGAGGCGCTTCATCAGGGGTGATTTGTACCTGCAGTCACAGTGTGGGTACAATGTGGGTCAAACTACAACCAACCTATGGAAATACAAATATAGCTGCTTAGCTGATATTGATCCAACAGGGAAGCACGTCACACAAGAGCAAAGGCATTTTGGGAAGGGATGGGTCCGGTTGCTCAGGTCACCCTCCTGGGTGACTGATGTCCGTCTGGACTTCCTGGATCAGGTGGCACTAATTACAGAACAACTGCAAGTTATCGCTTATTCCTTAGGGCGGTACGCAGGCCTGGATATTGAATCTTTATCTTGAGCCCCGGCCTTCTTCAGAAGTGCCACCAGCCACAGTTCTGAGGTCTTTATTTTTGTGCTGACTTCCTTGAGAGCCCAGCCCATCTCTAACTGTGTATCAGTTTCTATGTAACTTAGCTGCCTACAATAACTTCACGGTCACACCTAATCCTGAGCTGCTGTAGAAAGACACATCTCTAGAAAAACACCTGCACTTCCAGTGCTGATTTCCAGCCCAGTCCAGACTCTGGACCTTGGCACAGGCCCTGCCTGGATGACTCAGCTTCCTTACCTGCCTGGGAGGACAGTAACAGCACTGACGTCACACACTGCTCTTTGACCACCAAGGACAACGTACGACTCTTCCGGAACCAGGGCTGGCTTTCCGATGTTGACCTGTTGTCCTGGGGCTGAGACCTACCGGCTTCCCTGCCTATGCTCTAGCCAAGCCAGAGCTAGGGGCCTTCACAGAGAGCCGCTGCAGCTCATGGTCCTGCAGAAGAGCCTCGCCTCGCCCTGGTCCAGATTCTTCACTTCCCCTTCTCCATTGCAGGGCCACTGACCACCAGCTACCCTTCCAACTGGAATAAATTATCATTAAAATTTCAGTTCCTCAGCCTCACTGCCTTTCCCCTTGGACAGGGTCTTTCTATGTATGGCAGGCTGGCTTCAAACTCAAGATCTTCCTGCCTCCCGGCAGCCATGATGGTGTAGCTAAAGACCCTGATTGAAGAGGACTTCCAGAGCTGCTACAGAAAGTTGCAAGAATAATGGGCTTCGCTCAACCTGAGAAGTCCTCTGAGGGGATTGTTGGCTGTGCTCTGAGGACTGCCTGAGTACCAGGATTACAGGACTCCACGCCCTGCCACTAGCCACATTTGAAATGCTCAACAGCTGCACACGACTGTCATAGTGGACAGCATGGGTGGCAGGACAATCCTGTCCTTCCAGAAAACTCTATGGATGAATCACTTTCTTCCCTGCTCCAGAGAAGCCTCGCTGCAGAAAACCCACCCTCTCCTTTGTCTCTGCTGCTAGGTCAATCTGCCCTGGTGCAAATCCTACGTGCACAAATGAATTGCTTTAGCTCAGTTGAAAAAAAAATTGTCCATGCCTCAGTTTATACATATGCAAAATGAGGATAACAGTATCAATTACCAGCCCCTCCCATTGTTCTAGGGAAGGGACTTATATCCCTGGAAGGTTTTAAGCCTCAATAAATGTTAGCTGCTATTGTCATTTACAAGATATGAATGAAAAATATACTGTGTGTTTAAATTTTTAAAGAGTACTACAGTAAAAGACATATTGCCAACAACCCCCCTCAGAGGACTTCTCAGGTTGAGCACGGCCCGTTATTCTTGCGACTTTCTGTAGCAGCTCTGGAAGTCCTCTTCAATCAGGGTCTTTAGCTACACTGTCACGGCTGCCGGGATGTCTCGAATCAATTTAAAATGTTTATTTTTCACGGTCACTTTGACTTTGGGGAAGAGCCACGAGTCACACAGTGCCGGATCCAGTGAATAAGGTGGACGAGGGCACACGCGATGTTTGTAGGCAGTGCCTTTGCACTGGACGGCACTCGGCAGCAACACTTAGCCCACCTCTGACCACACCTTACAAAGACACGAAAGAGGACTTCCAGAACTTCACAACGCAGCAAGAATGGTGAGGTAAGTGTACCTGAAGGAAAGGGCAGTATTCTGAGGGTAATTAATGTCACTGTGTCTTTTACATTAGAACATTTAAAAAATTCAGCAGGGCGTGGTGGCGCACGCCTGTAATCCCAGCACTCGGGAGGCTGAGGCAGGAGGATGGTTGGGAGTTCGAGACCAGCCTGGGCTACAAAGTGAGCTCAAGGCCAGCCTGAACTGCATAGCGAGACACTGTCTCCAAAAAAAAAAAAAAAAAAAAAAAAAAAAAAAAAAAATTTAAACACTCACCATATATTTTGGTCATCCCTTGCATTTTTATAACTCTGAAGTTCCAACCTCTATATAAATCTGTCTGTGTTTATGATGAATGATCGCAGAATAAACTAAATGTCGACCTAGAACCATCCTGCCGGATCGCACTTGTGTGTTTACAGTGCGCTGTGGGGTTTCTTTGAGCAGTCTTCACTACTGACTTGCGCACGCCACGTGGTACCTGGCCCTCCGTGGGCCATGGGGTCTGAATGCCTATGTCCCACCAGTGATTCTCATGTTGAACTTTTTACTACCAGAGTGGTGGCACTGGGAGAATAAGCCATGCAGTGCCCCTAAAAAATGGGATTAGACCCCCACCCCTCCCGTCATGTGAGAACAGCCAGAAGATGAGCTCCAGAACAGCAGGGAACAAACGTCTATAAGCCACTCTGTTTGTGATATTTTGTCACGGTAACCTGGATGGACTAAGAGAGTCTGGAAATATTTCTGGGGTTCAAACCAGGCACGTGGGAGGAGTGAGGGAAAATGCTTTGAGCATGGGGTGGGTAGAGCCCGGGAGGCTGCTCAGCATGGTACAGGGCATAGCAGGGCCCCTCACCGCTGGAGTGACTCAGCCCCAAGTGGCAGGAGCACCAAGGTTGCAAGGGAAGCACCTCCATCTGTTTCTGTAGGAGCCCACAGGCTAGGAAGTGTTCACCTTAGTGTCTCTCTCTCCCCGCTCCCCTCCCTTTCCCCCTCCCCCTCTGCACTCCTTCCATCCTGTCCTCTCTCACAGAGGATGTAGATGTGTTCGTGTATCCTTTGTGCCACTGAAGTTTACTTTGTAAAGAAAGAAACAAAAAAATCCCAGCAAATGTATCCAAACCAGCTGAAGGGACAAAAGCTTCCCGTGGGGGGACCTCTCTGCAGATGCTCCCTGTCCCTGTCTCCCTGTCCCTCCCTTCCCTGCAGGAGGCCTGGCTGCCTTCCCTCATCTCTGCACTCCTCTCCTCTGCAGCCCCACCTGCCTCCCACCTGCCTGGCCTCAGCAGCCTCCGGGTTTTACTAAATCCGGCGGGCCTGTTCTTGTGTTCTGCTTTACCGTACTTGTCCGCTTCTGAGACCCAATGAGAGGACCAAGCTTCCCCGCAAGGCCCCTGGGCTTTACTTTCTCCTCCCTCTGCTCTGGCTGCTGCCCGACCTTGCCGAGGGTTCTGTTACCTCCTCTTAGCTCTCAGATGGGGCTTCCCAGGCGTTTATCTTGGGTCATGAGTTTAGTCCATGGTCCGCTCCAAGGCGGGAAGGTGCAGGAGGAGGGCCTCACGGAGGAAAGTGCTCACCTTGTGGCGGCTGGGAAGCTCAGAGAGTCAAGGGAGGAGCTGGGAAGGGGCAACGGGACTCCCTCTCCTGACCAGACCCCGCCAGCTCTAATCCAGTCACCTTCCTTTTTTTTTTTGGTACTGGGAATCGAACTCAGGACCTTGTGCTTGCCAGACAGGAACTTGTGCCACTGAGCTATATCCCTGGCTAACCATCTTTTTTTTTTGGTACCGGGAATTGAACTCAGGACCTTGCCTTCCAGGCAGGCTCCTGTGCCACTGAGCTAGATCCCCAGCCCCCAGTCACCTTTCAAACACCTGGGGTGTTGGGGCCATTTCACAGCTCAACCACAGCAGGCCCATTCTTCAAAACGATGCATGCCAAACGTTTGACAGGTGAGCGTGGGACTGGGTGCCAGGCTGTTCACCACACAGGCCACGTCCAGCGCCTAACACTGCCGCCAGGATGACCCCTGAGGGCCATTTCAGTAGGCAGAATGCCACCCCCAAGTCATCCCTGCACCAGTTCCTGGGGCCATGCACCTGTCCCATCACACAGCTGCTACGCACTGAGGGGATGATCCCGCTGTGCTGGTCCTCGGTCCACTGGGCCACCGTCTCCTCTCCAGATCTCTCAGCAGACCTGGGTGTTGCTGCAGGTGCATCTTTGCGGACATGTTAACACCTCCATTCTGTTCTGTTGTTTGGCTCTAAGTGAAGGAAGCTGCCCTGGTAGGTATTGTGGGGGGCTCATATCCAGCGCTTTGAAAAGCCCTGGAGCCGCAGAGCATCCCTTGAGAAGAAATTCTGCTTCCTGTCTGCAGCAGCAGCAGCAGCAGCAGCAGCCCTGCCTCGGTTCCTTGGCCTTCCTGGCCCCAGTCATGCGGTTCACATCCTTGAAATGGCCCTCTGTACATCTGGTGTCTGTTTCCTTGGGTGCTGCTGGGAATCAAACTCAGCCATATACATGGCGGGCAAGCGCTCTACCGCTGAGCTGCATCCCCAGCCTCACATACGTTGTGTGTTAATACCATGTGAAGGAAGCACTGCAATGTGTATGAACCTCAAAGACATGTTCGTGAAAGAAGCCAGACACCCAAGACTGCACAATGCATGATCCCATTCATGGTCAGCGCCCAGAACAGGCAAATCCCTGGGGTCCCCCATGGGTGGGAAGGATACCCACTGTGCTGTGGGCTTCTCAGAGTAATGAACTGTTTAGAACTAGTGGGTGTGTAATAATGGGGCTCTACCACCTGCCGCTCAGCTGTTGATTTTTAAATGGTGAAAGTGCCGGGCATGGTGGCCTGGGCCTGTACTCTCAGCACTTTGGAGGCTGAGGCTGGAGGATTTCCAAGAATCTGAGGCCAGCCTCGGCTACGTAGTGAGTTCAAAGCCAGCCTCAACTACACTGTGAGACCTAGTTTCAGAAAAAATAAAATAAAATAAAATGGTGAATTTTATATCAGCAAAATATATTTGATTAAAAAATCCTTTTTTTGTGGTATTGGAGATTGAACTCAGGGCCTTGTGCGTGGAAGGCAACAGCAATACCACCCAGCTACATTCCCAGCCCTGATAAAAAAAATCTTTAACTTAGGCATATTATGTATCTCTATTGCTGAGTTTTTGGTGACCACTCCTCTCCCTTCAATTTTGCTCTGGAGTTTGAGCACAGGTTAGCTCTGGACCATCCCACACACAGATCCCAAAGAGAACTTTCTAACGCCTGTATCAGAGCCTGTCCTGCTGTGGTCACCCCTCCCGGACGGTCTCTGCTCCCGGTCAGTCGCCTTCAAGCTGGCCTCCCTGAGCAAGCCAGACTGCACCCTGGCCCGGTGCCCTGGGCCCCACCTGGCTGCCTGCCTTCCTCCTGGTGCCCCTCCTCCTCCCCGGCCCTGTGAGCGCCCACTCTTCTTGCAGTGGCAGCCCAAGGGCACGGCCTTGCGGTCTCTCCCAGCTGGCAGCCCAGCCCCAGCCACCCCTCAGCTGTCCGGGACCCAGGACCAGCTCCCCACCCTGAACCTGTCTCCTTGCAGGGACTCCTGGCTCTTCCTGGTTCAGGCCCTGCCTCCCTCAGGCCCCGAGGGACCTCCCTAACACCGGAATCCCACTGCATTTCCCGCAGAGCACAGGTGTTCAGGGACCTAACGACTTTTCTAGGGACGGTGGCTCAGGCAGGACTACTTCAAAACCAGAGCTTCTGCTCCCTCTCTCTCCCCTCGCTTACACTCCTGCAACAGCTGCTGCAATCTGGAAGAAATTACTCTTCGAAACAGCCAGACTTCCCCAGTTTCAGGAAATTCCAAGCTGGGCGGGGGCGGGGGAGGAGCCGGGTGGTGGTGGGGTCCATCCCTCCTCCACCCCTGTGATCTCCACCCACGCCCTGTCCGTAGCTCTGTGCCCCAGTCAGCGGGAGGAGCGCCGGCTTTTCCACCGCTGCCTTCTAGCCCTTCAGGTCCCGAAGGCAAACTTTCTGGGGATAAGGAGGCTTAGGAGGGGCCTGTGGCTTAACACTCTCTGCTGCCGGACAAGAACTGAGGAGGCTTGCGTGGAGACTCCACCCCTGCTCCGGTCCCCACCGTGGCCCCTGAGAGGGGCTGCCGCTCCTGGTGCAGGTAGGGGAGGGGCTGTCACGGGGCAGGAACCCTGGTTCTAAGGGAGGAGGCTGGGCTGGACCCCAGGTCTGAGGGAGGAGGCCCGAGGCAATAGCCCGGGGAAGGTGGACACCTGGGACCCTGTATCCGCCCCTGGTGAGTCCTGACACCTCATTGCAGGTGAGATCCCGCCCGCGCGCCGGGAGGAAGGCGGAAGAAGGGTGCGCAGTGGGCCAGCGAAGGTGGACTGCAGTCCCCAGCTCAAGGAGGCCGAGCGCCCTCTGCGCTCAGTGAGAACCTCCAGGTAAGGGGCGGTGGTGGGCAGGGGTCCCGGGTCCGGGCCAGAGGGAAGAGGGCTGGAAGCCAGAGGCGGGCGTGAAGTTCAGCCCAGACATGGCGGCCTGGAGTGCACGGTGCTCTCGGGGCTGGGCCGGGGTCTCCAGCCTGCCGTGCAGCCTGCGCTGCCTGCCGCCTGCCTCTCCCGGTCTCAGAACAGGTCGGGCCAGTCTGGGCCAGTATTTCCACCTTGGTGGGGGCTGGGGCCACAGGGCCGAGGTGAGCCCGCTGTGCCCCTTGCCCTGCAGCTGGAGCTGGCCCTGGCAGGAAAGAGCGGGTGGGCCTGGGAGGACGGAGCTGGTCTCAGGCGAGAGCCAGGGCGCGGCCTGTTTGTGCCGGCTCTGCAGCTTTCATGTTGGCCCAAAACAACAGCCCCTCTGTCCAAGCCCCGCTGGTGATGAACTTTTTCCAAGAGTGACCTCACTGCATGAAGCCCAGCAGTGCTGGTGGATGGAGATTAGAGCCTGGGTCCCAGCGGACGGGACGTTCTGGGAATCAGGGAGTGACTTGCCCAAGGTCTCAGAGCTAGATAGGACAGAGGCTGCATTCAAAAGCTCTGTCTTACTCAGATTTTCTCATCTGCAATGCAAAAGAAAAAGGAAAAAGACAATTTAGGGCACAAGGAAATCCCTGGCCTCTTGTTTCGTTTTGTGTGAGACAGAGTCTCACCAGGTAGGCCAGGCTGGGCTTGAAGTCATGGTGATGCTCCTGCCTCAGCCTCCAGAGTTTGGGGATCACAGGCGTACACTAAGCCTGGCTTGCGGGCCTTTACGTCCAATCAGAACGCCATGTTTTGACTGTGGCTGCATACCCACTCACTCCGAGAGTGGCTGCGAGCAGTGCAGGAGCGTCCTTCCGCGGCAGCCTTCATCGGCCAGGTTCTCAGCACTGGCTCCTGGGTGGCCAGGGGCCAGTCACCGCGCCTCCGCTGCAGCCAGCACACGTCCTAGATCAGACAGCAGAACAGTGCTTCCCCTCGGGGTTGTTCCGAGGATTACACATTTTAGTTTACGTGTGTGAAGCGCGCAGACCAGTGCTCCGAGTGAGTGAGCACAGTGGAGATCCTCCGCCCTGCGGACTCCTGTGGTTCAGAGGGGTAAACTGAGGGGCAGGGTAAGGAAGCTAGCTAAGGGCCCCATGGGGAGGGAGTGAAGTGTGATGTCAGAACCAGTAGTGACAGTGGCCTGGTCTGCAATGCCAGTGCAGGAGGAGAGAGCAAAGGCAGGCAGGCCCCAAAAGAGGCGGCAGCCCTAAGTGTCAGTAGGGACAGCCAGAGGCAGCGGGCAGGGCCAGAGCCCTCGGGGTGCTGGCTTTGTGAGCTCAGGCTGGGACACAGGGTCCAAGCTGCAGTTTTAGTTGGCCTTTGCTTACTGAACATTCACTGTGTGCTTGCCGGGCACGGTGCTACATCCCACCAGTTCTTACCAAAAAGACGGAAGTGCTCTAGTTTCGCCCTGTGCTCCACGTGCGGTCAGAAACAGGTCAGAAAGGTTAAGGAGATTCCCCAAAGCAACACAGTATGCGCAGAGCCAGATCCAAACCTGGCCTTCAGCCTGCTGCCCTGGACACCCACGGCCCACTGCAGGTCAAGTGCTGCGGTTAGGGCCCGCTGACACGTAGAGGGGCTTCTGACTTTAACCTGGACCAAGATTCCTGAATGAACCAAGTCCAGTGTTTAAAAATAGAGTAGAACAGAAAATATCAGCTAGGCCACCACGTTGTAAGGCTAAGTCTTGTTTCACAAAGTTTTTGTTTCTGTTATGGAGAAGGAGGAAGCGGTGATTGTGCTGGATGCAATAAACTATGTTTACTCATCGAGGTTAAGGTCAGGGAAGACTGAATAGTGCAGAAGGGGCAAGAAGACAGGTTCCCCAGGAGAGGTGGGAGGAGACAGAGGGGGAGGGAGAGACAGAGAGAGGGAGACAGAGAGATGTAGGGAGGCCTAGGGCAGTCCTCACAGGCCATCCACCCACATGACTGTAAACCCTTTCGGTTTACTTTTCCTCCGGGGAATCAAACTCACGATCTTGTTCTTGCCAGGCAAGGGTTGTGCCACTGAGCTCTATCTCTGGCCTCCCTAAGAATTGCAAGAGATATTATTTTTGGTTTCTTTTTGGTATCAGGAATCGAACTTAGGACCTTGCGCTTGCCAGGCAGGCACCTGTGCCCCTGAGCTATATCCCCAGCCCTCCTCCACACCATCTGACGCCTCCTGGGGAGCTGGTTACTAAGGACAGTGCTGGCTGCCTGTCTCCCTCCTGTTTTACCCAGCAGTTACTGTTCAGGGACCCCCGCCCCCTCCAACAACACAGCATTACCAACGACCGACGCTACCACACAAACACGATTTTCTTCAGTCGGCCCCTTCCGTGCGCTCTGCGAGGGAGGCAGTGTTATTTTATCCACTTTACAGAGGAAAACAGATGAATTTATCCCCACTCAGCTAGCTGGCAAAGGGCGAGGCTTCTACTGAAATGGAAGGTCCTCACTGTTAGGACGAAAGTACAAAGTCACCCAAGTCCCACCTGGAAGTTCCACACACACCTGCCCAGTTCCACGACAGGGCTGACACTGCCTGCGGTTTTATCACCACCCAATCCGGCGCCGCCGGGAGGGAACAGCGCACTTAGTTTACAATGTACAACTTCCAGATTCACACAGATACCACTGTTGGCATTTTCTTTTCTTTTCTTTTTTTTTTTTTGGTACAGAGAATCGAACTCAGGACATTGCGCTTGCCAGGCAGGCGCTTATGCCACTGAGCTATATCCCCGGCCCAAAGAGAACAGGGATTTTTTTTTATTTTTTCCGGTACTGGGAATCGAACTCACGTGTAAGGTACTTTGTAGTATTGTTTTACAAAATGTGAGAAATTGTTTTCTTAGGTCATGGTCTCTCAAAACCAGGTAACTAAACGGTGTGGGTACATACGGCCCCTAGGACCGCCCAAGTCCCCCACACCGGCTCTTCAGGCTGGCCCGTTAGGACCTCTGGACACCCAGGCACTGCCCTGTCTGTAATGTCCGCCCCGGACCTCTCCCGCTGGCGTTTTCTCAGCCAGGTGGGGACGCACCCCAGGGTCCGCGGAGCGCGTTTCTGGCGGTGGGAAGGCTCCCGGGCGCTCAGCACAGCGCCGGGGCATGAAGGAGCCAGGCGGGCCCAGGTCGGCCGCTAGGATTTGGGGCCAGCAGCCGTGACCCCCGCCGCCTCTCAAAACCTGTTTCCCACCGGTCAAGCGGCAGCGATCGCCCGCCCCGCGGCTCGCGCGGCGCTCTGACGCCCCTGCCCCCGCAGATGCCCACGCTGAAGCAGCCCGGCCCCGCGCAGCCCAAGAAGCGCAGCCCCCGGCG